AGCTGCTGCTGCTGCTGGGGGGTGCTGGGGTGGGTGGGGGAGGGGGTGCTGCGGGTGGTCGGCGTTCGAGCGTGCTGTGCTGCTGTGCTACTGTGCTGCTGCTGCTGCTGCTGCTGCTGCTGCTACTTTTGCTGCTGCTGCTGCTACTTTTGCTGCTGCTGCTGCTGTTGCTGCTGCTGTTGCTGCTGGCTGCAGGTGATTGGCTGCGACGGCATATGGGAGCTGCTGTCCTCGGCGGAGGTGATTGAGTTCGTCCGACGGCGGATCGACGTACGCGGACCCACTGCTGCTGCTGCTGCTGCTGTTTCTTTGCTGCTGCTCTTGCTGCTGCTGCTGCTGCTGCTGCTGCTGCTCAGTCTGCAGCTGCCACTGGCGCAGGCTTTCAAACGCCGACGCTGCACCTCCCGGAATCGGGTGCTCTCAGCCCCAGAGCTTAGGGTTTAGGGTTTAGGGTTTAGGGTTTAGGGTTTAGGGTTTGGGGTGTTTTGCAGCACACGCCGGACCTTTGCCAAATTCTGCGGGACTTATTTGACTCTCTCATTTCCCCCAATCCAGCACTTTTTGAATATGGCTGCGACAACATGACAGCATTTATAGTGGACCTGCAGGCGGGCCGGAGGCCGTACGCGCAGCAGCAGCAGCAGCAGCAGCAGCAGCAGCAGCAGCAGCAGCAGCAGCAGCGGCTGCGGCAGGGGGAAGACGCCCGGCACTGCAGCAGAACCAGCAGCACCGAAAGCCTCTCCGGGTCCGTCTACGGAGAGCCCGAGCCGCACCACGCAGGAGGCGCAGCGACGCAGCAGCAGCAGCAGCAGCAGCAGCAGCAGCAGCAGCAGCAGCAGCGGGGGCGTGGGGCAGCAGCCGAGAGGCCCCCGCAGGGCGCAGGATAGAGCAGCAAAGCCCTGGGGGAGGACTTTTCTTTATTTCTCTTTAAAGAATTAAAACTTGTAAAACTTGTTAGAATTAAAACTTGGAAAAATTTGCATTTAAAACTGCCTCCTGTGGGCCCTCAATCAGATTTTTCTGTTGCCACTGCTTTCTCGCTGCTGCTGCTGCTGCTGCTGCTGCTGTTGGCTGCAGCGGCTGGTTGCTGCCGCAGCAGCAGCAGCTGCTGCTGCCGCCAGCGGCTGCTGCAGCGACTTGCTGCTGCTGCTGCTGCAGCAGCAGCAGCTGCTCGGGCGCGCAGGTGCTGCGCGCCGGCCTTGCGGCTGCCCTGGGCGCTGGGGTGTACGTACACCCCAGCGCTGTCTGCGGGGCTTCTTGCCGCAGCCAAAATGTACAAATGCCACTTTAATAAAACTTTTCTTTTTGTCTGGAAACTGCTGCTGCACTGGGAGCTGCAACTCCCGAAAGAAACCCAGTGCATGCGGGCTTCGCGTCGCTCCGCGCATGCATGCATGCAGCCAGCCTCTGCATGCATGCATGCATGCATGCATGCATGCATGCATGCATGCATGCACGCGATCTCCTCGTCAGTGCATGCACGCATGCATGGATGCATGCGCGCATGCAGTAGCTGCATGCATGCAGTTCTTGCACGCATGCGTGCACGCAGTTCTGCATGCATGAACTGCGTGCACGCATGCGTGCACGCAGTTCTGCATGCATGCAGTTCATGCATGCATGCATGCATGCATGCATGCATGCAGTTCGTGCATGCGTGCACGCAGTTCTGCATGCATGCATGCAGTTCGTGCATGCATGCATGCATGCATGCATGCATGCGATTGTTGCACGCACCCACTTCCTGTATGCATGCATGCACTTCTTGCATGCACCCCGCGCATGCATGCATTTGTGCATGCATGCACTTATGCATGCACTTTGTAAGGCCACACTTAGGCATTTGCGCAGCTAGTTAGTTTAATTGTTTTGGCCGCAGGAGGCCCCACGCGGAGGACCAGTGGTCACTTCTCTATTTCGGCTGCATGCATGCATGCATGCATGCATGTATGCGTGTTAGCAGCATGCATGCATGCGTGGTAGCTTTTTTCGAAGCACGTTTTGTTTCAAGTTCTGGACTGGGGCTGGGGGCCCTGAGGGGCCCCCCGACCTGCTGCTGCTGGGGGCCCCTAGAAGCAGCAAGTGGCGCTGCAGCGCAGCAGCAGCAGCTTCTAGTTTGGCTGAGCAGCAGCGCTCTGGGCTACTTGCCCTCTAGCGGCCCCCTAAGGGGGCCCCTCAGGGGCCCCCTGGGGCCCCCTGGGGGCCCCCTAGGGGCCCCCTGGGGGCCCCCTAGGGGCCCCCTGGGGGCCTCTGGGGCCCCAGAGGGCCCCAAAGGAGGCCCCGCGGGGGCCCCTCGGGATTCTGCTGCGGGGCCTCAGGGGGCCCCTTGGGGGCCCCAGGGGGCCCCTTGGGGGCCCCAGGGGGCGCCTTGGGGGCCCCAGGGGGCCCCCAAGGGTCGCTGAAGAGGCCCCTGAGAGGGGCCCCCTGGGGGCCCCCTTTAGTCTTGTTCTGTTTGATTAGTTTGGTCCGAATTGTCTTCAGTAGAAGTTCTGCGGAAGTCCATGGAAGTGAGTGCTGCAAGAGGTGAAGTTTGCTGCTGGTTCTGTCGCTGCTGCTGCTGGGTTTCCTGCAGCTGCTGCTGCAGGAGCTGCTGCTGCTGCTGCAGCTGCTGCTGCTGCTGCAGCAGCTGCTGCTCCTGCTGCTGCAGCTGCTGCTGCTGGTGGCGCCGCAGCGCGTAGCTGCGGAGGCCCTCCTGCAGCTGCTGCTGCTGCTGCGCCCTGTCTCTTTGCTGCTGCACATAATCTTCCAAAGCCCCGGAGTCTGCTGCTTCCTCGAAGTAAGAAGACTCAAAGTCTTCTGCGCTTGCTGCTCGCACCCTGCTGCTGCTGCTGCTGCTGCTGCTGCTGCTGCTGCTGCTGCTGTCGCCCAGCCGAGTCCTCAGAAAGTCATTCACAATTGTCTCCACTTGCTGATTTAGCTGCTGCAGACTCACCCCCTGTCCCTCCACTGCTGCTGCTGCTTCTCCCCAGCTGCTGGGGTCTCCAGCATTGTCGAAAAATGCTGCTGCTGCTGCTTGTGCTGCAGCAAGAGCAGCATTAATGAAGTGTCTCCTTCTTCTCTTCAGAAGCCCCTCGCCTTCCTCTCCCGATTGCGCTTCTTGCTGCCCCTCCATGCTTTCTCCTTGCTGCTGCAGCTGCTGCTGCAGCTGCTGCTGCAGCTGCTGCTGCTGCTGCTGCTGCGACGACCCCGCTGGCTTTGGCTGCCGCGCTAGGGCCTGCTGCCGCGACTGCTGCGCATTTTGCTGCCGCTGCTGCTGCTGCTGCTGCTGCTGCTGCTGCTGGGGCGACGGCTGGTGCAGCTGCTGCGGCGGGCGCTGCAGCGCCTGCTGCTGCTGCTGCTGCTGCTGCGGGGGCCGCTGCTGCGGCAGCAGCAGCAGCTCCTCTCCGTCTTCGTCCCTCAGGCCCTCCAAAGTCCCCTCTGTCTCATCTTCAAACCAACTCTCTTCTCGGGGCCCCTGGGGGCCCCTCCCTAGGGGCCCCGGGGCTGCTGGACCCCCCAGCGAGCCCCACCGGGGGCCCCCCTGGGGGCCCCCCTGGGGGCCCCCGCTGGGGGCCCCCAGGGGGCCCTGCAGAGGACGCGCCTGCGTTGAGACCCCCTGGGGGCCGCCCTGGGAGACCCCGTGGGGCCCCACGGGGGGCCCCCCATGGGGCCCCACGGAGGGGCCCCCCGGGGGCCCCCCCGGGGGCCCCCCGTGGGGCCCCATAGGGGGCCCCACGCGGGGGCCCCCTTGAGGGTACCCAGAAGGGGCCCTATGGGAGTCCCCAGCAAAGCTGCTGTATGAGCCCCCAGCAATGCCCCCACTGGGGCCCCGAAGACTGCTGCCAAAGGGGCCCCCAGGAAGGGCCCCAGGGGGGCCCCCCGGGGGGCCCCCCGGGGGGCCCCCCAGGGGGCCCCCTGTGGGGGCCCCCAGGGGGCCCCCAGAAGAACCCTGCAGGGGCCCCCTAATGCTTCCGGGTCCTGCAGCAAGGGGCCCCTGGCTCTGAGGGCCACCGCCTGCTGCCCATGCTGGCTGAATTCTGTTTTGAGGCTGCTGCTGCAGCTGCTGCTGCAGCTGCTGCTGCAGCTGCGGCGGTAGCTGCTGCTGCTGCTGCTGCTGGTACTGCTGCTGCAGCTGCGGCGGCAGCGGCGGCTGCTGCTGCTGAAAGGGCGGCTGCAGGTGCGGCGGCAGCCGCGGCTGCTGCTGCTGGAACGGCGGCTGCAGCTGCGGCGGCAAAAGGTGCTGCTGCTGCTGCTGCTGCTGCTGCTGCTGCGGCCTTTGCTGCTGCCCGTGGCCGCCGATTCCTTCATCTTCCAGGTACCAGCCATCGTTTGCTGCTCCTAACCCTTGCCTGTGCTGCTGCTGCTGCTGCAGCAGCAGGTGGGCCCCAGTGTTGGGCACAATTATCCTATCTGAGGCCCTTCTTTCGCTGCCTGTGGGGTCAGCAGCAGCAGAACTTTCTGCTGCTGCTGCTGCTGCTGCATCTCCTTGCGGCTTCCAATTTGGCACGACTCCTTGCCCTTCTTGGTCGGGCTCTTCTTCGCCTTCCTGCTGCTGCTGCGGCTGCTGCTGCTGCTGCTGCTGCTGCTGCTGCTGCTGCTGCTGCTGCTGCTGCTGCTGCTGCTGCTGCTGCTGCTCTTCTTCCACCCACTCCTCCTCGGGAACCCACTCCCATTCCCCCTCTTCAGCTTCATTTAATTCTTCTACTTGCTGCGCATGCAGCCCACTTGTTTGCTGCTCTTGTTTTCTTCGAGTTTGGCTTAGCAGCCCCACGGGGTTGGGGGCCCCCGGGGGCCCCTGGGGCCCCCGGGGCCCCTGGGGCCCCCGGGGCCCCTGGGGCGCTGCAGGCGCTGCTGAGTAGGGCAGGAAAGAATGGGGAGAGTACAGGTGTGTCCCCGCTGCTGCTGCAGGTTGTGCTGCTGCTGCTGCTGCTGCTGCTGCTGCTGCGGTGTTTTGAACGGGACCCTCTGCAGCAGCAGCTGCAGCAGCGTCTGAAAGGGTTGGAGACTTCAGCGCAGCCCCGAGCTGCTGCGTGCTCTTAAACAAGATTTGCTGGTTGAGGAGCTGCAGGGGAGAACCGCTGCTGGACCAGTGGACCTCCCTTGCTGCAGCAGCAGCAGCCTCCCTTGCTGCAGCAGCAGCTGCAAGCTGCGGGCCGCCTGCAGCAGCCAGCAGCGCCGCGAAACCCAGCAGCAAACAGCGGCGGGCCTGTGGGGCCCCCGGGGAAGGCGCAGCGGCCATTGTGTGCTGCAGCAGCAGCGGGCTGTGCAGATCACCCGCAGTGGACTCCGGCGAAAAATGCGAAAAGGAGGCGGAAAGCTGCGGGAAAGCGGCGGCCCCGGGGCCCCAAACCCTTCGTTGGTGGCTCTAAAATGCAAATAAAGTCTTTAAATTGAAAAAGAAAATCGGAAAAAGGAGAAGAAGTGGAGCAGTGGCGCCTCTGGGCGGGGCCGTTCAAGTTTCATTGCCTGCGCGCCGCCAACAGCGCTTCTTGCAGCGCTTCTCGCCCGGACCTGCGGAAACCTGAGGACTTTAAGTCCTAATGGACTTTAATTACTTTTTTAGAGGAATAAAAAGAACCTTTTTGCGCGTTTTGCGGCGAAAAACCCGCGAAGAATGGCTGGTCAGCACCGCTGGGCCGGCGCGCCGCTGCTACTAGGGAAACCGATCTGAAGAGCCTCTCGGGAGCTCTTCGAGCCTTAAAACACTTCTGCAGTTTCCTCAAAACCTGGAAAACTGGAAAACTGAAAAGAAAGAGAAATAAAAACAAAAAAGAAGAAAGAATACGAAATGCTGCGCCCAGGCGCCGCGGGCAAGGTCACCGCGGGCTGCGCCGCAGACCCGTGCAAGTCGCGGAAACTGCGGCGAAATCTTCTCTCTATATCTTCAATTGGAATTATTTTAATTTCAAAAAGCTTTTTATTTATTTTTGCTTCTTTTTTCCGCTTTTTTATCTCCAAGAAGAGCCGCTTTTCCCGCTGGCCGGACTGGACCGCCGCGCGGGGCTCTCGGGCGCTGCGCAGTTTCCCCTCACGATCAGCCTCCAAAACCCCCTTTAATTCGAAAATAAAAGTTCATTTTAGTTCTAAAAGACAAACACGAGCATTTTAAATTGAACAATGGCCTATTTTAATTCTCAAACACAAAACCTTAACATGTATCCCCACCCGAAAGCTCCCAGGAGCCCCACCTAGCAGCAGCAGCAGCACCTCCTGGGGGCCCCCAGAAGGGTTTTGCTGCTCAATCAGCAAACGCGGGTCAGGAGGCCCCTGGGGCCCCCCTGGGGGCCCCTAGGGGCCCCCCAGGGGGGCCCTAGGGCCCCTGGGGCCCCTAGGGGCCCCCCGACTGCAGCAGAAGCCGGGTCAAAAGGCCCCATCCTTCGCAGTTTTGGGGGCCCCTTTATATCATTTAAGTGTCTTTAAATGCGTAATGAGCCTTTTCACTTTTGTGGAAATTAAGTTGAAGTTATTTGCTGCTAAAAGGGGCCCCAAGACTTTCTTTTAAAACTCGTTTTGGACTTCTTTTTGCGTCTTTGCATGCAAAAAAGAACTTCACATTTGCAAGACGAACATCCCCTTTTCATGTCTTTGTTTTTGTCTTTTTGCAAAAACTAATTTGCTTTTTTATTCTCCAAAGTGAGCACTTCAGTGCATGCAATTAAAATAAATTCGAAATGATCAACAACTCAATGCTGTGCTGCTCCTGGCCCAGCAGCAGACAAGAAGAGGCCCCAAGACAACGAGTTGTGGGGCCCCACAGACAGGGGGCCCCCGGGGGGCCCCCGGGGGCCCCCTGGGGGCCCCTGGGGGCCCCCCTGGGGGCCCCCTACCGCAGTTTAACTTTGGGGGGCCCCACAGGCCTCTGCTGCTTCTTCTTGGGGCCAACTTAAAATAGCTCTAACAACTCTTCTTAGCTCTAAACTGAGGCTGCCTCAGCCCCACATGCTGCATGCAGCCAGCTAGCTAGCTAGCTAACCAGCTAGCCAGCTAGCCACCTAGCTAGCCAGCCATCTAGCTAGCTAGCTAGCAGCCAGCTAGATATCTAGGTAGGCAGCTAGCTAGCTAGCCAGCTCTCCAGCTAGCCAGTTCCCTAGCTAGCTTGCGAGCCAGCTAGCCACCCAGCTCTTCAGCTAGCTAGCCATCCAAGTAGCTAGCTAGCTAGCCAGCTAGCTAGCTAGCTAGCTAGCTAGCTAGCTAGCTAGCTAGCTAGCTAGTTCATCTTCTGGAGCGTTCGTGGGACCTGGAGCGCCTGTGCCGTCGCTCGCGGGACCGAGAGCGTCGCTCGCGGGACCGGGAGCGTCGCTCGCGGGATCGGGATCGGGAGCGTCGCTCGCGGGATCGGGATCGGGATCGGGATCGGGATCGGATCCCGTCGGGTTCTTCTTCGCTGTCTTCGCTTTCGGGGAGGCGCAGCGGCGCGGGGGGAAAGACGAGTTTGAGTCCGTCTTCCGCGCCGCGCGCGCGCTGCTGCTGCTGCTGCTGCTGCTGCTGCTGCTGCTGCTGCTGCTGCTGCTGCTGCTGCTGCTGCTGCTGCTGCAGCAGGCCTAAACCCCTCGTTTTGAGCCTCTTCTTCCGGCCAAACTCGTCGAAAGTCTCTCCATCCGAGTCATGTTCTCTCCTGTCATTAGGGTCTTGTAAATCAAAATGTCCCCCCCCTCTTCCTCTTCGAGGTTCATCCAAAGCCGAGGGCTTCGGGGCATTGCAAATGTTGCACGAGGCCCTCCGGGCCCAGTTCAGGTTTCCGCAGTGCCCGCAGCTCCAGTCCCCGGCCCTTCCGGGGGCCCCGGGGGCCCCCGGGGGGCCCCCGGGGGCCCCCGGGGGGCCCCCGGGGGCCCCCCCGGGGCCCCG